TATCACTCAGTTACCTATGACACAAACTGAAGCGTTAGCTGTGAACCCCTCTTCTTTTCATCTCCTACATCTATCAGTAAATCTAATAAACTCTATACTCAGTATGACTTTTTACTTCCGGGGCCACCATCAACTCTTACATGGACTCCTTGAAATAGCATTCCAATTTATTTTCTTTCAAGCTTGCTCCCTAGTCTTTGAAAAAAATGCCACTCAGTTATGCCATTTCCTCAGTGGAAACCTCAACGGTCCAGTGATGCTGTGATGCTCCGGGGAAGAATTGTACCAGCTGAAGACATCCTGGGGTGGGGGAGGATGACAAAATCTTCATCTACAGAAATCCTCATTGTTCTAGGATTATCATTGCCCTCTGAGTCATCTGTGGCTCCCTATGTACCCAGTAACATGTGGCAAGCTCAGGGTCTTTTGTCTTTGCCGCCCAGAGCAGCATTAATCAGGCCCAAAGCTCAGCTTCTTCTCTAAGTCTCACTTTCTGTCTTAATTCATTAATTCGCCTTGTGCTGTTATGGCTCACGGGAGAGTAGGACTCACTGCAGGAGTTCTAGTCCTGTCCCTTTTCCCTGCTTCCTGCACTTTTCATCCCAACACTGTCCAAGGTCACCCTCTCTACTGAGCTGGTACCAACAACGATGGGAGACTAAAAGAGTTATCTGTTATTGATGGTTAGTCATACTCACAACCACCAAAGAAGCACCAGGGTATAACTGGAAGGTGCTATAAGAAAGGCAGAGAGAGAAAAAATCCTCACCTTCTCTGTGTACTGGAGGAGTTCATGAAACCCTTACTATGCCGTGTTGTTGAGGTGTGGAACCCAATGTGACAAGAACAAGATTGTGAGGAGAGAAATTACTGGGTTTGTATCCAGAAGACAAGGATGGGTACTTGACCCAGGGGAGGCAGAAGGGAGGACAGGAAGGTGAGCCTCTCAGGATCCACTAGAGAAAAACTATTGGAAATCCTATAGGACCTGCCGCCACCAATACACAATTTTCGTTAATTACCTCAATTGTGGCTTTTAGCCCTGTAATGAGAAACACAACTTTACTTCTAAGCAGGCAGCAAGGCTGGCAGAAAGCTGAAACCTGAAAATCAGCAGATCCAGGGCCGCATACAGCCTTCACTATTGAAATTAAGCCACATCCAAAACACAGGGCGAGGGTTCCAAATAGCTCCAGACAGCAGCCCGCCATGTAGGGCCCTCACCAGGCACCGGATGGACGCTCTCTGGACTTGTCCAAAGAGGCCCCAATCACAAGTGCTCATTTCAATAACATAAGAAAATAAACACAGGGCTTATGTATAGCGTAGGAAAGGGACTGGGGCAAAAGAACTGCTTGTTTGGTAATCTGCCCTGACGTGGCGACAGGATCCAGACCCCAGGCTCTCTGGTAACAGGGTAAGCAGAAGTAGGGGCCAGAAGAGGACTGGCTGCCAGCGTCGCCAGGTACAATCTCATTAGAGGCCTGGCAAAGGGAGGGAAGGAGATCTGAGACCTCGTTCCTTCCCACCAACCGGGTCTGGTGCTCCTGCTGTCTCCCTTTTCTGGTTGATGAGAGGAAGGCAAGGCACAACAATGAGCTCCCTCCAGGGCCCGGAAGGGCCAGTGCACAACTCCAGGGAAGGTGCTGTACAAAGATAAGAGTCCTTCCCATCTCCTCTGTCTATTGGGAGACATGGGGTTTATGGAGTCCTCATTCAGAGTTGGGACTGAAACACCCATGCTCAGAGTCACAGGTCACGGGTGGGCCCAGCCACTGGCAGAGCTCAAGTCCACACACGAGGTCTGGAGTTCTCTGACAGCGGCTGCGTGTCTGGGGCCAGCGGGCTGCCTGGCAGGAGCACATGTGGATGAAATGCTCTTCTACTCCTCCTGGATGGGAAACTGGTGTTTTCCAGCTGTGCTCGACAGAAAGCCACAGGCTCCTTGAGTTTACCCCTGGGTGCAGGAGCCGATGATTTAAGTTTCCAGCTGGAAACATGGACCTGAGTAGATGCACCGTGAAGGGAAGGCTTGGCAGGGTGGCCAGGCCTGGCTGGTGGCTCTGGTCTATGCCGCACGGCTCTGTGGGCAGCCCCACGCCCTGTCCCTCAGAGGAAGTAGCCAAGATGGTGCTTCATGCTTGCTGTAGTCAGTGGGGCACACAGAGCTGCAACCCAGGGGCCAAGGGGCCCAAAGCAGAAAAGATATACCTGGTCCCAGGCCAGTGACTCAACTGTGTCTCAAATAGGAAAGAGGCCTGAAAGCTGGGGCAGGGGACCACATTTCCCTCCCCTGCATTTCTCCTGTAGCCAACCACGTTGAGCTGAAAATTACAATGCTGCACAGGATGCTGCCTGAAGGGCCCATGTGCCCACCCCAGGACCTGGAGCCACAATGCCCAAGCTGGGGGTGCACGGGAGTCCATCCATAGAGGCAGCACTGGGCAGGAGGTCCCCCCAGAATGCAGAGAGCCTCACAGCTCCCATCCTAAGCAGAGGGCATAGTCCAAAATTGGCAGTAGTTCTGCCTGCCTTTGCCCCACCAGGAGCAGCTCAGCTAATCCTGTTCCAGACCCTTGGACCATACATGGTTTGCAGAACAGGGTTTTACTCAGAAGTAGAGAGTGGGTGAACAGCAAACCCTGGCCAAGGACAGGGAGCCCCAGGGCTTGGACAGAGCTCTGGGTGAGGTGGGTGGGAACAATCCCAAAGGGGTTCTGTGCCTCCAAGCCCTGTAGTGGGAAGCTCAAGTGGCTTTCAAAGTCCTCCTGGAGGGACTCGCCTGCCAGAGCTCCTCTCGGGACACGGATGAAGAGGTCTGGGGCCGGCTTCGAGTCTGCTGCCTTTGCCTGGCCCTGCTGGGCCTCTCAGGGAGCAGATGCTGTGGCTTCTCTGGTACTCAGGCATGAGAAGAGGGAACGGGAAAGATGCTACTGTCTCTGAAGCAAAGGCTCGGGGCGGGAATGGATGTGGACCCCAGGTTCCCTGACTACGGAGCCAGGAGGAGCCCAACGACTTCCCTTACCAGGTCTCTGCTTTGTCTAAGCCTTGATTCTACCTTGGCTGGAACCAAAAAGGGCTCTAGCATTTTGACCCCAAGTCGCTCACCAGAATCCATGGCTAGCAGTGTGCTCTCTCAGCATGAAAGATGCTCTCGTCTCTCTGCTGCTCAGTGAACAACAGTGTCGGTGGGTTCTCAGGCGGGGCAGCTCCCTCGGCCCCTTCAGTTCCCAGTCCCGCCCACGCAGGCCTGAGGGAGGCCACTTCGCCCAAGGGCAGCAGAGAACCCAGCACCTGACACGAGAGTTCAAAGCCAGTGGAAGTACATGAGGCTTTGGCAGAGAAGCACAGAGGTCAGATTTTAGAACTTGGTGACAGTGTAAAGGAAGGGGACAACAGAGCGTCACTGGCAGGAAAGAACCAGAGACCGTGAGCATGAAGAGCTACTTCCCTCTTTAATTGTCCCAGACGAGGTGGTGGTTTGGGCCTAACCACATTTGAGATGTGGTAAAATCCATGAGATAAGAATATTAACCACCATCTCATGTGTGTGCCACATTGTTTATTCACGCATACGCTGAGAGACACTTATGTTGTCTCCACTGTTATAAAAACGACCATCTAATGTTACTCAGCCAAAACAATAAAACAGTATTTCCAGCCCAGGAAGGTCCCCAGGGAGCAGGCAGAGGCTTGGGGTACACGCTTGGGCCAGGGCCAGTTCGCCTCTTCTGTAGGCCAGTAGGACACAGTTTTCTTTAAAAAGATTTCTTAATCTAGACACAGCTGTTGTCTGCTGTAGGCCTGGACATGACATTTTAATTAGCGTCATTGTTCTGCTCCCGCAGCCAGGCTCCATGGCGTCCCGGGGAAGATGGTCCTGACCCAGCTCTGGGTGAGGCCCGGAGGCCGCTCACAAAGGGACACAGTGCTTTGTCCTTGGGGTACCTGAACCCAGCTCATCTGCACCGTGCTTGTCCTGCATTTCAACTGTGACTGTACCACCTGTCCCTTCAAAGAATCTGAGGCCCAAGTGCCCGGGATATAATTCTCCTAGCGTATAAATTACTTTGTGCTGCGTTATAAGATCTCATGCTAATATTTCTGGAAACAGTGAGGTTTACGGGAAGATTTAATGTCCTTGAAGTCCAGCGACTCCTAGGAAGGTGACACAGGATGAGAGGCCAGGCTGACAGCAATGTCACACGGACCGGCTCACTCACTGCTGCCACAGCTCCTGCCTCTGCAGGATTTCAATGAGAAGTCCCCTACGTCCCCCATACTGCCCCACATCTTGGAAACTAGCGACCCCCTGGAAAGTTACAGGCGCTCACTGACGTTGTAGTAGTGGGACTGGGGTAACAACAGAAATCTCTCTGGCTTTCTAACAGACCATGCCCACTGCTATGGAAATGAGACCCCAAGGCCTTCCTGTGTCCCTGGCTGAGGAGTGAGAATTCTCTGAGGTGCACACACGGAGCAGGTCAGGGTCTCAGCACTGGAACCCCCAGGATGGGTGACCCGGATGCTCCTGTCCCTTCCCGTAGCTGCTGCCCAGGAGTCCACGGCTCCATAACCAGAAACGAGATGTGACTGTCATGAGCCCTACATTCAGTGCTGCTGCTGTGTCCCTAACTTTTCCCCAGCGCCTGCACTGTGGGTCGCAGGCGCAGTGGCTCCTGTTGACCAGGGCACCGGTTCCGTCCTCCTCCACACCGCTCGGCGGAACAATGGCAGCGCCTGAGCGACTTCAACTGGCACACAACTGCGTTTCCCTAATTATATCCATATTCTAAGCAAATTGTTATGTATTTTGTGTTCTGGGGACATATGTTATGGCTAAAGCCCAAACTGTGGCTAATCTTAATATTAGAGCCAGATAAATCTGTTTCGGATCCGTAACATTTAACGTTTACCAGAGTAGATTTGTTCATCAACTGGGCTTAAGGAGGTATAATTCACACATGTGCAGTATTACTAAATGCTGAAATTTAATGATTTAAATACACCGGCAACTGTTGCAAAGTGGTTGTTGTAGCAGCATTTAATGTTAGCCAGAGCATCTCTGGCTAATGTTACGTTTACACCGAAAGAATGAGCTAAATTTTGGCATCCCCTGTGGACGGGTGGGGGTCACAACTCCTCAAGTTCTACAACACGGTACCTGCCGGGCTACTCATTGCGCGGCTCTTAAAAGGCCTGTTTTTCCACAGCACACCTAGAAAACATCAGGGGACCCAATCAGGAAGCAAATGGATTCCCCGGAGGGAGGCGACCTCCGGAGGGAGGCGACCTCCTGGCTGTGACAGCCCCGTCCAGTGAGACCGGAAGGTGGAGTTAAAGACATAAAGGTGGTTCCTTGGTCAACCAAGAATCAGTGTTTAAAGCACAACAGAAAAAGGAGTAAAAAATAATTTTAATCTTATCAAAACACCAAGTGCAGTGGAGTGGTTTGTGGGGCCGATAGGAGCCGGGCCGGGCCTCGGCAGAGTCTTGTGCTCTGCACTGCGCCTGCCTGTCTGTTCCGGGAAGACGCAGTGACAGGGACGCGGGAGGCTGGGCTTCTCTGGCCCAGTGGGCGCAGTCAGGGAGGCCGTCCCCAGGGCAGGGTGACGTGCAGGTGCCGCAGTGGCTTCCTTCTGCTTGGCGACCTCAGGGGCGCCCATCGTTCTGCAGAAGGGGTCAGATGGGTACCCCGTAGCGAGTGCCTGGGGCCTTGGCCTCTGCCTGCCAGTGCCTGCCCGGACCCGTCTGTCACGCGTCACAAGCTGCCGATGTTGGGGAAACTCTTCAGCTTCTCCGGAAAGTCGTCCTTGTACAGCACGGGGTCTGCTCGGTGCTCCACCACCTTGAGAGGCATCGTCCCAAAGACAGAGGCGAACTTGTTGATGCACTCGGACCTGCAGAGGGGATGTGCAGGATGAGGGGCAGGCAGAGAGGAAAAGAAAGAATCACTGGAGTCGCGCAGGGAACGCAGCAGAAGCCATCCTGTGCACCACCCAGCAGCTCCAGCCTGCAGCCGGCTCAGAAAGGCGGGGACAGGAGCGTGGGTGCCGGCAAGGCTGCGCAGGCCCACGCCTCCCTCCCTTCACATTCCTCCAATTCCTCCCACTCAGCCCCAGCAGGCCTCAGACAAAGGTGGATTAGCTGCCAACAGTCCTTAACCCCCTCTCTGCCGGGGAGCACGGGTGGAGAGGACAGGGCACCTGGCCCACCCTTAGCGCCGCCGTGGGGCTGCAGAGACACGGGGAGAAGATGGGCCGGGCGCCCTCTCCATCCGCCGGCCCCTGTGAGCTTTCATACCTGTGTGGTTCTGGCCACTCCCTCCGTAGAGGCCGCAGCACACCAGGCTCAGCCACACACCACAGGAGGAGCTGGGCCCAGACCCAGAGCGGCCCTGGGGTGGGGGCTCAGGACGTTCGCAGGGATGGCTCCACTCTACCAGGCCCACCGAGTGTGACAGTGGAGCGGCGAGGACGCGGGCACCGGCCAGCGGGAAACCGGCCTGGGAAAAGTGTTTGGAGTGCGGGGGACCTAGAGGATGCGCTCAGTGCCCTCCTCCACCAGGCCTGGGCACCTGAGGGCCGCAGTAAGCACAGGCGGGCAGGCGCCCGGTCCGAGGTCCGACCTCAGGTCTCCTCTGTCCTCAGACAGGTGGCTGTGGGCTCCTTTCAAGTTAATTATAATCAAGAAGACTTTGCTCTAGGTCACTGTAGAACTGGAAATGTGTGTTGTCACTGCATTTTGAGCTCTAGCTAACAGCATCACCGTGTCCAGCGGCACCACAGCTCACTGCCCTGACCGTGTGCTCCAAGCTGCCAGTGGTGCTCTGCATGTACAGACGGCCCACGAGCCCCACAGCGGCCCTACGCGGCTAAGGACTCTGCTTACTCCCACTTCACAATGGGGAGACGGAAACACAGAGAGGCTAAGCAACATGTGCAAAGGTAAATAAAATCCAGAAGAGACAGAGCCAAAACAGGGCATTCTGGCTCCTGAAGCTGAGGTCTTAATTAGAGATGATGCTTTTTTTTTTTTTTTTTTTTTTTTTTGCAGTGTAGGGATGGAACCTAGGGCCCTGCACATGCTAGGCAAGCAGACCCAAATTTATTTATTAGCCTCATTCTAGGAGACAATGGGAGGGGCTGGAAGCTGTTGGTCTATTCCCTGTCGGACAATTGACCCACGATTGTTTTAAGTATTTCTCCCCCAGTCCCCCTGGGTTTATATTATCCTCCTCACAATATGGTTGAAGAAAACAAGGCTCAGGGAGGTTAAGGAACTTGCCAAGGACCCCGAGCTGGAGAGCGTGGCCCTGGGCTGCAAGGCCAGGCTTGTGTGGCACTGGATGCTGGAGCAGCATCTCGCTCCCCTCTCGCCGGCACTGCTGAGGCTCAGGAGGGCCCGAGGTCCCACATCAAGGGAGGCTGGGGAGGGCTGAAGAGTTCTAACGACAGCTTCCCCTATTCGTGTTCCAGCTCACGACAGTGGCAGGCCCCGCGGAGTCTCCGAGGTTTCACTTCGACTGTGGCCAGCAAGGGCTGGCAGTACCAGCACGGGTACCAGAGGGTACAGGCGAAAGGGTCCTGGGTCCACTGGAGGAGGAGAGCAGTGCCACAGGGCCCAGGGAGAGAATCGACAATGTCTCTTCTGTAACCAGATCAGCCAGCAGGGCACGGGCTGCGGGCGAGATGCCCTGGGGCTCGGGCCAGCCTGGCCCACTGACGGCGGTGCTGGCGAACCCGGCTCTGGCGAGGATGCTGGCAGAGGGGCGGCCGATCCCTCCAGGCCCTTGCCCCGCCCAGCCGGTTGGCAGGGCTTCCTGCTTCCTTCACACAGGGGATCTATCAGGAGCAGCAAGGGTGGGCAGAGCCTGCTGGCAGCTGGGGGCCGCCCGAGTCGTTTTGCTGGGGGTCCGCTCCCCTGTCAGCACTTCTCTCTGTTCTGCTTTTCCAATCAAGCGCACTACGCCGAGTGCTGCCAGTGCCTGCCTCTGCTGTGCTGGAAGCGTCCAGAGAAGAGGGCTGTGGGTTGGCTTCCCCTCCAAACACGCCAGTACCTAAGGTCACCAGGAGTGTCCGGGACGAGTGCTGGCGCACTGGGTGGAAACTCGCCAGTGCTCGGGAGTCTCCATCATCCGTCCCCAGCACACAAGACCCTGCTCGCCGCAGAGGCTGGGTACTTTCTGAACCCATTAGCGGACACTGTAATCTTGGGACACTGATACCCTTATTTTAGCAGCTGAAAAGACCAACAGTCAGGGCCAACGTCCTTAGGTCAGACAGCTAGTAAGTGGGAAACTCATAACATTAAGCAAAGATTGGCCCGAGTCGAAGTACTGTTTTCTTAAATCAAAGCAGGCTGCCTGTTGTATCACCCTGACCTTGGTGAAGATATTGGTCAAAATGAATAGCTATAAATTCTTCTGGTTTTTAAAGAACTAATAGATGCTAGAAACAGATGGTGGGCAGTAAAAGCTATTCTCCTACTCGACTGAGAATTCTGATTCCAGACTCCCGAAGATAGGAATAAATAAGTATACTGAACCACAAAACCCAAAACAAGGTCAAATGCTGGGAAAGAGGTTAACTACTTTAACTGTGTTGTGAAAAATGTGCATTCTGTAAAGGGAACCATTAAGAAATAAAACAAGTGAACAATTCTACAGTGGAAACTATCTCTTGGGCTTCCCAAGACAGCTGAAATCGTATCTTCATCCTCCCAACCTGAGCACCCTATTTAATAATTCAGTGCCTCCATCTTTAATGCCAACAGTTTTGCTTGCAGTTGCTGACTCTGCTCCCCATTAGACCTCTCCGAGGGGCACTGTACGTCCACTCACGCCTCTTCCTCAGCCTTGCGCTGTCACCCTTAGACTTTACCACTCTCAAAGTTACTTTTCCAAGGGCTTTCCTCGCTCCTGGCTCTGCCTATCCCGGTCCTCTCTTGGCCTCTCCAGTCGCTGCTTTTGTTTTCAGTTATTCTGTCTCCTAAATGTAAGAAATTATGAAAATTCTGCCGTTGGCTTTCCTTTAGTCACCTGTTGACTCTGAGCACAGAACTTTCCGATATTTCTGTTTTACACTTCCTTCTAAAGTTCGACTTCCAACGCAAAGTGCTGCTCAGTATCTGTACCTACACCCGGAGGGCAGGACCTCACTATCACACCCCTTACTGTCCTCCCACTTGACTGATGCCGAACATCTCACTGTTCACTGTACCCCGACTCCTGCTCTAATACAACCTCCCCATGCTCTCCCTCTCTGCTATCACGTGCACTGTTAAAGTCACTTCCATTTCTCTGCACTCAAAATCAAAGCGGTCTCTGTTGACTGCTTTTTGGCAGTTTCCTCATACCTATCCAGTCGGAATCTACATTCGGGTACATCTTCCACTGGGGAAAGAAAAATCTCGCAACTGAAGATGCTGCTTCCTTTCCACATGCAGCTTAGTCCAAAGCTGCTAACCAGTCGTCCTCCAGTTGCTTCGTTCCCTATTCCATCCCAAACAGTGCTTCCAAATCTCAAAGCAATCGTCTGACCAGCTCAAACTCGTCAACGGCTCACCAGAGCCGGAAGGAAAAACGCCAGGCTCCTTAACTGGGGTTTCCAAGCCCTTTGCAGCCTGGCACTAGCTGGCCAGAATCCTGTGCTTTACCCAAATTGAATTTCTTCATGTCCACTAGGTGAACCTTGAACTTGCTGGTCAGGCCCCTCTGAGCATGAGGCGTCCCTGCCCGGAACCTCCTATCTGCCCGAGGATCGCTGATGGGGATCACGGCGAAGTCCTTTCCCTTACAAGATTATTCTGAATAACGAAGCTGATGAGATCCTGGTTCTCTTTCCTCTCAGCGCTTTGAGCCTTCCTCGGGACACTCACAGAATTAGCTTTGGGTGAAGAGTGTGCACGTGTGTGCATGCTGTTGTATTACAGACGCTGATGCAAGCCTTCCAACTGGGCCTCCATTTTCAAAGCTCTCCTCCACGGAGAAAGCGTCCGTACCTCCCGAGCTGCAATATTCAGTGCTTCACAGTAACGATCTCCAGCCCGACGCCTGCTCGCTGCCTCTCAAGCCTCTTGTCACCTGCTACCGTCTCAGCCGTGCTGACAGCAGCTCTGTGCCTCAGCAAGAATCCCGAGGCCACTCTCGGGCCCTGGGTCTCCCTTCGCTTCCTTCCCTGCATCTCCACCAGTTCAGTTCAGCCCAGGAACTGCTTGGCTTCACGCTCTGAATTCTCCCCAAACAGAAAACAGGGTAGGCTGAAATACCGATTTCATGGACTGCAGTGGAACCACCGTCGGGGTCTCTTCCAAATGAGCTACGACTGCTACTGTCACTGCCCTTAAACTGTGCGATGCTCACGATCGTCAGTGACAGGTATTTCCAAAACCACAATAATGTTTCTTCACGTCAATGGTTGCTAACAGTCATTTTCAGGGGTAAGATATTTCCATATGAAAGAGATGAAAAGCGTTGGAAAAAGCGAAGTGGTACAGAAGAATCCAAAGCCAAGAGCAAAACATTCTGTATACAAAATCCCAAGGCTAGAAGGATTTTATTGTGGGGTAGAGACTTCAGAAATGAATCCTGCAGCAGATGCACATGAAATCTATGCACTCTAGGCCACCATAACGTTCTCGGAGGACACTGTGGTCCCTGGGTAACAGCGCTCCTGGGTGCCATGGCTTGCTGCCTCCTTAAGGAGCTACCTTTGGGAGAATTAGGCTCAGTTCAGACACCACGGAGCCTGGGGCCTCCTGGGGTTCCAGTGGGAACTATCAGGTTAGTGCGAGATTCTCATGGTCCTGGGGAAAGACACAGGTCTCTTATTCTTTCCTACTCCCCTGCAAGGCCTGGGCCACACTTCTTATCAAAGTGTGATTATGAGTAATCGATGGAATTGCTCCGAGAAGGACTATTTCAGAGCACCCCCTACCCCCAGTAAAGAAACTGGCCTTTGCTTCTGTTCCTGGAAGGGGTTTTCGTAACACCAGTAAAGGTAATCTGTCTCTGCTGGGTTTGGTTTAACTCTTTCTCCATAACATGCGACACCTCCCCCCGCCCCCATGTTTCCTCGGAACTGACTGGCTTCCAATCTGCTGACAGCAGTTAGTTAACCACTTGGTCCTTCAGGGGAGTCTGGCTTCGGAGCTTATGGCCAGCTATATTTTAAAGATCCTTCCAGCCATTGCAAATTGAGGGAGCAGCATTCCAAATTAATTCTTTGGGTGACCTGGGCTTGAACTATCCCAATTCCCACAGTGCAAAAGGAGGTGACTACGGCCACCAGCTGCTGTCCTTCTATCTCCACCCAAGTCCCATCAACCGGCCATGGCAGGAGAGCCGCTCACCTCTCCACCATGTGTGTCTGGTCCAGCGAAAGTCCGTCGATGGCCGTGCACTCTGGACACTTGAATTTCTTCCGTGGGGTCACCTGCCAGGGGCACGGACAGACCTGGCGCTCAGGGCCAAGGACTACAGAAGCGTGTTGTGCCACACCACATGCTTCTGCCCTGTGAGCTGAGATGCTGCAAGCGTGCACGCACGCACACACACACACACACACACACGCACACGCACCTCACCGCTCTTCTGTTTGATTTGGGCTGGCTCAGCCCACAGCAGAACTCACAAGGGCACAATAAAAGAGGCTTGGAGGCTTTTGCCTTCTGTAACTGGAAAGAAGCGGTGATGACAAGTCCTTAATTCCTGTTTAATGACTGTTTTCTCACTGCCAAGGCCCTTGTATAAATACCATTTGTTCTTGCAGCCATACGGGTGATGAAATACAGCTTCCCGTAACTTTCACCGGAACCTTAGTTCCAGCAGGCCTGCCTTCTCCTCCGCTAATGGCAGAAGCTCTGAGCAGCACCATGCTCTTGGAGATGCAGCTCCATCTGCAATTCCCTCTAGTTAGGAAAAAGAATCCAATCGGCTCTCACCTTGTGATCCCTTCCTCCGGCTCCCCTCCACACTCCCAAATCTTAAACATCCAGCACCCCTAGCAAACTCGAGGAAGATGGCTATCCTGACCTAGTGAAGATGAACAGGTAGGCAAAGGATGGGAAGGAAAGGAGTCTCGACAACCGAGGCCAAACTACGACCCACAGAGGCGCCATCCGGAGGAAGCAACCACGGCTTAAAAACACAGTGAAGGTGAAGGGGGGGCTCCCTGAAAAACAACCCTCACAATGTACACTTTTCAGTGTTCTTCGCGCTTAGCTGCTGGGTCCTTTAGAGCACTGGGGGATGGGACTGGGGCAAGACAGTGCTTTTTTCTCTTTCCAGGTCACTTTGTTCACTGAGGAAGAACCGGTCAAGATTCGTTCATCTGTACTTCCAGAGTGAACTTCCTGAGGACGCACAGAGGGGAGGCTGGAGCTGCCCGTTTTCCTACATGGAATTCTAACCAGACGAAAGAGGTCGGGATGATTCCACCCATGGAAAGAAGAGGGCTTACCCCTCCCAATCTATATGAGTAAAGTCTGAATTTCAAGAAGAAATCGACATCTTTTAGGTCTGAAGACTGCCCCACCCCAGAAGATCTCTAGGTATCAACTTTTACTATGCTATGGGAAAGATACTTTTGGAAACTGCACAAACAGTTACGTAACTGTACAAGGATCTGTGCATCTGTGCATCCAGAGCAACATTTCACTTGCAATTGTGAGAATGAGCTGCACTCTTCAGGATCGTAGAGCACAGACCCCGCCGAGAGAGCCAGGTGAGACAGTGGCAGGGCCTCTTACCTTGATGACAGCTTTCCCTGTGACATTGGCCACCAGGAAATTCATGGCAATGTCTTCACAGTTCATATGCGCGTCCACCCAGTTCTTGATATCCCCAGGCATTTTGTAGGTGTACAGGTAATTGAAATACTGTCAGGTGAGAAGAAAGAAGAGACACGCAGATAGCAGTTCCCTTTGGCTGATGCATTAGGACACTGAGCGCGGGCCTGAGAACAAGCTTTCTCTCCTGAGATTAATCAACACCGAGGGCCACAGGAAGGTCGAGCCCGTTTTGGTCAAGTGGCCGGCGTCTATGACATGGCACTCTTCTGCTAGAGTATATGACCTTTTTCAAGTGGAACGCAAATGAGACATCTACAATAGCCCACGTGTGAGAGATTGCAGAATTCATGGGTCAAACATAAGTCAATAATAGGCACACAATCATTAAGATGTACACATAACTCCAAAGAATTTTACTCATTAGGCTTCTTAGCTGTTTGTTTTACTAACAATAAAACCTATCTCTGGACCTCTGGCCCCCCAAAATATGAGGGTAGCACTACTCAGCTAACAAGAAACAAGAGATATAAAATGGCTAAATTAAATTAACTGCGTTGAGTTGGACAGATCCTTCTCCTGGTATCAGGGCCTCATGCTACTGGTTTAATTAAATCACACACTCCTGGGAAGTGCTCTATTGGCAAACTGAATACTCTGAAATCAAATGCATAGTCTCTAATCTCTGCCTAATAAAATCAAAACCATTAAAGTGATGGTTCTCAGAAGAGAAGTACAAAAGGCTAATACATTCACAAAAGGAACTTTAACCTCACTAATAATCATGTAAAAGTTCAAATAGTAAGATTCATTTCTACTTATCCAAATAGCTAAAGTTAATTTTTAACACATTTTTGCACGGGAGGGTATGGTAGGACAGTTTTATATTCTGCTGGTGGAGGTGTAAATCAGCAAAAATAATACTGAAACTATTACATTGCTGCTCTTAAAAAGCCCAAAGTGTACATTTCCTTTGATATAATTCTACTTGTAGGAATCTGTCATAATGATCATAAGTATAAACAGGAAAATGGATATAATTCCTGAGCATTACATATTATGCATTATCTAAAATGGCAAAAATTATAAATTTAAATACCCAATGATAGATAAATAGTTATACATGATTTATGGAGAATGACATGGTATAATGCCAATTATGCTAAGAAGTAATTGCTTATAAAATTTAGTAACGTGAGAAAATGCTCATAATACAATGGACTAGTAAGAATATTTACAACTCTCTCGGAATGCAACAATAAATATATAAAAGGTTAGCGGAAAACCAGCATCTGTAGGTAATACAGTGGTACCTTGGTTCATGAATGCTTTTGTGGGCAATGTGGTTTCCAAACAGAAGCATTTGGTAAAATTTTGTTTTTGTTTGCAAATTCTGCATTGGGTGACAAACGCACCCTTTCCCACACAAACATAAAACTGGCCATCTTTTCCAAAATTGTAGAACAAATTGAGTTCATGAACCGAGGTACCACTGTCATGTTACCTCTGAATGACAGCATTACAAGTGATATATGAATTTTCATACTTCCTACTGTAAGCATGTATTTCATTTATAATGAGAAAACAATACATTTATTTACAAAGGAATACAGTAAGTCCCTGACTTACAGACTGTTCATAAGTCATATTTGTTCGCAGTCTCACACAGTACACCTGTGAACGTTTGTAACTCGAATATAAGTCGGGGACTTTTTCTAAGCCCTCGGGGTAGAGCCCTTCTACACCCAGCACCAGTTAGGACAAACAAAATGTCATGGCCCCTGGGTTCTGTGGCCCAGGCTGCACCTCCTACCTTGTGGTAAAAAGCTGCTCCCGTGAGCACCATGGACACCTCGTTAGTCCACTCTGACTCGTACTTCCACTTACTCATCTCGTGGTCCCAGAGGTGCAGGCGACCCGGGTAGCCCACCAGCCGGTCAGGAAACTCCCGCCAGACCTGGGGACCGAAGCACATCCAGAGTCACCCCAGGGCCAGAGGACGGTGGGGGACAGTGTGCTTACCCACAAGCCCCTGGGGCCGGATCTTCACAAACCAACAGGAGCCGGAGAGGCTCCAAAGACACACACGGACCCCTGCCAACGTGTGAAGACGGACACCTCGTCTGATTCTCTCCCAAACTCCGTGGTGGCATAGCTTACCTTGTGGGGAAAATGTATGATTAATGAAGAAGTTTCTTTCTTTGTTTTGTTTTTTGTTGTTTTCTTTTTGGTACCAGGGATTGAACTCGGGACCTTGCACTTGCAAGGCAGGTGGCAGAACCACTGAGCTAAATCCCTGGCCCAAGAAGTCTCTTTCTTAATAAAGGCTCAGACGAAGAAAAAATGGAAGCCTGAAACTCAGCTACCCTGATCTGTATAAAACTGCTTATTCTCGAATTTACAAGAAGTCTCCATTTCTTTTTATTAAAAGAAAACAAAAAAAGCATCCATTTTTCCCAAGCACACTCATTCTTATAACCACCTCAAAGCCTATAATGTACTGTAGAGGGCTTTTTGATTCTGTGACATACTGAGTGAACCCTTTGACTTACTCATTCTCAAGGGCTGGTTGTAACTCAAGTCGGTCAACTGAAGGCTCAGGCTCCTCTAAGAGCCTTCAAAGTCTCTCCTGTACACAGGTGGATCTCAGTGTCCTTCAAGAGATGCTGGCCCAGGATTTCGACATTGTCATGTTTCATCCAACGCTCTTTAAGGGTTGAATCTGTATCTGAGGCCATCTGGAAGCCGGCATTCTAGATGCATCTCAACTTTGTATGTTAAAACTAAAATTCTGGTCGTAACCCAAGTCGTGCATGCAACAGGCTGGTCATAACTTGAGGGTCCACTGCACTTGGTTTCTGTGCTTGGAATAGCTCTCAGACAGTTTTGTTGGAAGAAATAAAATGTAGGTGGCCTCGGGGGATGAGGCTGTTCTCAGACCTTTCCTGTGGATTTCTGCCTACCAGAGCTGAACTTTTAGAGAGCAGAGGTCCCCACCGCGACCACGCACTGGACTTCCACTGGCTGCTCTGTGCCTCTTCTCAGTTCCCAGCCCACTGGGGCTCCTGCGGTCCCCGCCGAGGCCCTGTTCCCTTCTCTAAGCCCTTTTTCTCTCTCAGGAATCACATCTATCCTGTATCACTTAAAAACCACCTGTACTCTCACGACCTCTGAAGTCTGCTGGCCCTGAATGTAACCGACATAACCTACCCCTTACCACCTCCCCCTGGACAAAGCACAGGCACCTCCGACCCACCGTGTCCAGAACAGAGCTCTCAACCCCCGTCCCCGCCAAGTCCCTCCGTCTCCTCCAGGGAAAGTGCAGCCAGCTGCTGGGCCTCCACTGTCCCCTCTGTCCACCTCTCGCTTTCTCTGCCACGACCCAGCATCCGGACAGCCCTTGCCCGTGTCCTTGTGGCCACTTCTGTCCTTCTAACGCCAAGGACACGGCCGCTCCGTAAGGACCATTCCTAAAGAGCACTGGCAAGTCCAACCTGCGGATGCTCTGGGTCTTCACACGCAGTGAGGCGCTGACCTATGGATTCAGGTCACAGGGTCGCATCCCAGAGCACACGCTGCCGAGCCCGGGGCGCCGTCACCGCCTTCTCGGGGCACAGTGTGCTGGCAGCCCCCCTTTCCTACTTTTCCAGGGTGCTGTAAAAAACAACCACAAGCTGGGGGCTCAGAACAGCAGGAACTTGTCTCAAGTGCCACAGCCCAAGCCCAGGTGTCACCTGCAGGGAAAGATCCACCCAGGCCGACCCTCGGCTCCCAGCTGGCTGTCCCTCTGTCCGCCCGCGACACTCCTAGGCTTGCGGATGCATCGCTCCCACCCTGCAGCTTCCCAAGATCTCTTTCCTCAGCACAGCCTGCCTGTGTGTCCCTGGGTCCCTGGCTGTACAGGCACGGGTCACATCACATTAGGGCTCATGCTGGTGGCCTCATTTTAGCTCAGTTACCTCTGAAAAGTCCCCATTCCCAAAAAGTTACATTCTGAGGGCCTGAAGATCAAGACTTCAACATACTCTTTTTGAGGGGACACAATTCAACCTATAACATCGCCCAGAAAATCTTTAAGGGATGTCGAACTCTCAAAACAAAAATAATTTCCTATCACACACAGGGCCTTCCGCAGACTTTGTGGGTCGCACAGGCCCAGCTTCAGCACTTCTCTTGCTGCTCTCCCACATGCCAGCAGCTTCTCTGCTCTGTGACCACATCAAGGCCACTGGCCCTTTGCACATGCTGTTGCTTCTGGCTGCAGTGCTCTCCCAGCTCTAAAAGGGCTGGTCCCCTCTCATCAGCCAGGCCTCTGCTTAAGTTTCACCCATCTTGAAAGGCCTTGGACCTTTCCATCTAAGCCAAATGCCATGCCAACCCCCTTCTCTCATCACATCCCTTCTACCCCTCGCTCTGCTTTACCAAGGCTTCATTTGGTGTGATCACGCCAGCCGACGATTTCTGATTATTTATCTCTACCTATTTCCCTCTGGATGAGGGCAGAGTCCGTCCACTTCACCATGGTGTCCCACACACAACCAACTGTGCCTGCCGTGAGGCAACATCCCACATGCACTTGCGGAACAGAGGAAGGCTCAGAGCTGGAGAGAGAAGGGGACCCGAGGCGGCATCTCCTTCCACCCAGCCGGAGCGGCACACTCCCGGGCCCAGGACGGAAGGGTGCCCTGGACAGCACGGGAAAGACGCGGTCCTAGGAGCACATGGCTTCCGGTGCCTTCCCGGAAGTGGGGATGTGTGCTGAGCCCTTGCGCCTGCAGTCCCTTCCCCAGCGTCCCTGGGATGCTCTGCAGGATTTGGGGGGCTGTCAGATGGGGTGGGCTGGGGTTAGGGGAAGAGCCTCCCTTCTCGGGAGCAGGGGAAACCAGACCCTCGGCCTCATTAACACCAGGCTGTGACCGACAGAGTTAATGGGCCGCAGGCATTGCCCGAGGAGCTGTAGACAAATGAATCCATGTCCACATTTCCTCAGCTGGGTGAGCGGCTGCTGAGCTCCTTCTGCTCTGGGGTTTGCATTTCAACAGATTAAAATGATAGGATACTGCTTTACAGAGTGCAGGGCAGCCACGCGGTCAAGTGAGCCAATTCCTGCCCGGGCACCACGTACTGCCTGTGCCCAGCAGGTGGGTGCCGTGACCCGGGCTCACTGCGGCGGCCTCTAGGGGCCTTGTGAAGGCCCAGGCACAGATGCCACCCCCGGGACACATGGCAGAGACCAGCAGCAGGTGCAGGGAGGGGGCACCCATTCTGCCGGTGCTTCTGCTGCACACGTGGGCGCTTTTCTCGCTCACTTTGAGTCCAGTGAGTTCCAAAGGGCCCTTCCTTACCAGGCCCTGTGCCCCGAGTTGCGGCCATCAGCATCATCTTTCTCTCCGTCACTACTGGCTCCCTTTTAGGGTCAAGAGCTGTTCGGACTTCAGTAAGGTGTTGCGAGCCGGCGATGCAGAGCACTGCCCAGCAGTGTCTCAAACCTGCAAGAGCAGCGGGGTGGAGATGGGGCAGAGAGAAAGGAAGGACACCAAGACAAGAGTCTGATCAAGGCGACGTTTATTGCAGGCAGGCATCAGCCTTTTAAAGGGAAAGACCAAACTATTATGGGCTAGGATTACCATAGTAACCTCAACACCCGCTCCACGGGAACAAGGGTTCACACGGGAAAGAGAAATCAGGCTCAAGAAAAACAAATTAACAACACTTGCAACTAATAATCATGATTCCCAAATAGGTGGAGGAACTTAACAAAATGGAGTTACAACACCTGACTCCTAAAGATAACGTCAGATCTTTAACAGGAAGCACCTGACTCCTACAGATCTTTGGCTGTCCGAGTTTCTCCAGTGCTGGGTCAAAAACAAGTTTAACACGTGCAGTCCTTAAAAAGGAACAAATGTTATCTTTCAAAAAGCCAGTGGGCCATGGCTGGCTTCCCACAGTAAGGGGCTCTGTCGGCAGCAGTCACCCATCAGACCTCTCTCCGGGGGACGCGCCGAGGTGACACCGGGTCCCAGGATGCCGCGTGCGCTGCACTTGAGGCGTCAGAGGCGTCCTGGGTCTTGGCTTCCTTGGACCCTTCTGTGAGCGCCGTTCTCCCGCGGGGCCTCTGGCCCTGACTTACTCTAGGCAGCTGGATACAATCAAGATACCATCCTCGCCACTCCATCTATAACTCAGCGGCCGACTCCAGGATCAAAACCGAGTGCAGCAGAGCGGGATGGCCCTCTGATCGGCCCCGGTGTAGACCGAAGTGGATTATGTACACAGTAAAGCATTTTCCCAGCCAGGGAACCCCTTCTCCGGGCACGGTCCCCAGTCCTGCGCAGCTCCTTTCTTCCTACCCAGGCTCTCGCGATCCTGCCAGATGCCTGTGCGCGCTGCGGTGGGAGTGCGGGCACCGGAAGCTACACTTGGCGCCTCCGCAGTTCCTGCCGGCGCTTCCGAGGCGGCTGTGGCCAAATCCCAGGGCACAGCAGCCCCCGGGCCCTGCGTCCACACCTGTGTTTCCATTCCACACACCAAGCAGACAGAGGCTTGTCGCTCTTGAGACTCTGCCTTGCTTAGGGCCCGGGCTGTAACTCGACAGTGTTCACCTTTGGGCCACTGCTGCGCAAATGCGACCACAGGGCGGAGCGCTGCTCTGCAGCTTCTGCCTCCCAGTTTCCAGTCTGGGCCCAGCCACCTCTTCCCTGATGATAGGCGTCTCCTCTCCGACACCCAGAGGTGCTTACTTATGCTTCCAAACTCGGGAAAAACAAAACAATCCAGGCCTGACAGAGCACGTCTGTAATCCCAGCACTCTGGAGGCTGAGGCAGGAGGACTGTCCTGCGTTTGAGGCTGGCCTGGGTGACATAGGGATGTAGTGAGTTCAAGACCAGCCCGAAATACATAACAAAACCCCATCTCAAAAACTAAACAAAACTCCAAGAGCCCGGGAGTTCTTT